AAACTAGGAACAGGTTCTTTGAAAGAATTAATAAGACTGATAACCCCTAGCCAGACTTATCAAAAAGAAAAGAGAAAGGACCTAAATAAATAAAATCATCAATGAAAGAGGAGAGATCACAACCAACACCAAAGAAATACAAACAATTATAAGAACATATTATGAGCAACAATACACCAGCAAATATGACAACCTGGAAGAAATGGGTGCATTCCTAGAGACATATAAACTACCACAAATGAACCAGGAAGAAACAGAAAACCTGAACAGACCCATAACCAGTAAGGATATTGAAGCAATCATCAAAAATCTCCCAACAAACAAGAGCCCAGGGCCAGACGGCTTCCCAGGGGAATTCGACCAAACATTTAAAGAAGAATTAATTCCTATTCTCCTGAAATTGTTCCAAAAAATAGAAATGGAAGGAAAACTTCCAAACGCATTTTATGAGGCCAGCATTACTTTGATCCCCAAACCAGACAAGGATCCCATCAAAAAAGAGAATTACAGGGCGCCTGGGTGGCTCAGTGGGTTAAGCCACTGCCTTCGGCTCAGATCATGATCCCAGGGTCCTGAGATGAGTCCCGCATCGGGCTGTCTGCTCAGCACGGAACCTGCTTCCCTCTCTCTCTCTCTGCCTGCCTCTCTGACTACTTGTGATCTCTTTCTATCAAATAGATAAAATCTTTAAAAAAGAAAAAAAAAAAGAGAATTACAGACCAATATCCTTGATGAAAATAGATGCGAAAATTCTCACCGAAACACTAGTCAATGGGATCCAACAGTACATTAAAAGGATTATTCACTATGACCAAGTGGGGTTTATTCCAGGGCTGCAAGGTTGGTTCAACATCTGCAAATCAATCAGTCTGATACATTAATAAAAGAAAGAACAAGAACCATGTGATACTCTCAATAGATGCTGAAAAAGCACCTGACAAAGTACAGCATCCTTTCCTGATCAAAACTCTTCAAAGTGTAGGGATAGAGGGTACATACCTCAATATCATCAAAGCCATCTATGAAAAACCCACCGCAAATATCATTCTCAATGGCGAAAAACTGAGAGCCTTTCCGCTAAGGTCAGGAACATGGCAGGGCTATCCACTATCACCACTGCTATTCAGCATACAACTAGACGTCCTAGCCTCAGCAATCAGACAACAAAAAAAATTAAAGGCATCCAAACCAGCAAAGAAGAAGTCAAACTATCACTCTTTGCAGATGATATGATACTATATCTGGAAAACCCAAAAGACTCCACTCCAAATCTGCTAGAACTTGTACAGGAATTCAGTAAAGTGTCAGGATATGAAATCAATGCACAGAAATCAGTTGCATTTCTTTACACCAACAACAAGACATAAGAAAGAGAAATTAAGGAGTCAATCCCATTTACAATTGCACCCAAAACAATAAGATACCTAGGAATAAACCTAACCAAAGAGGCAAAGAATCTATACTCAGAAAACTATAAAGTACTCATGAAAGAAATTGAGGAAGACACAAAGAAATGGAAAAATGTTCCTTGCTCACGGATTGGAAGAACAAATATTGTGAAAATGTCTATGCTACCTAAAACAATCTGCACATTTAATGCAATCCCTATTAAAATCCCATCCATTTTTTTCAAAGAAATGGAACAAATAATCCTAAAATTTATATGGAACCAGAAAAGACCTTGAATAGCCAGAGGAATATTGAAAAAGAAAGCCAAAGTTGGTGGCATCACAATTCCAGACTTCAAGCTCTATTACAAAGCTGTCATTATCAAGACAGTATGGTACTGGCACAAAAACAGACACATAAATCAATGGAACAAAATAGAGAGCCCAGAAATAGACCCTCAACTCTACAGTCAACTAATCTTCGACAAAGCAGGAAAAAGTGTCCAATGGAAGAAAGACAGTCTCTTCAACAAGTGGTGTTGAGAAAATTGGACAGCCACATGCAGAAAAAGGAAACTGGACCATTTCCTTACACCACACACAAAAATAGACCCAAAATGGATGAAGGACCTCAATGTGAGAAAGGAATCCATCAAAATCTTCGAGGAGAACATAGGCAACAACCTCTTCGACCTCAGCCGCAGCAACTTCTTCCTAGGAAGATCACCAAAGGCGAGGGAAGCAAGGGCAAAAATGAACTACTGGGACTTCATCAACAAAAGCTTTTGCACAGCAAAGGAAACAGTTAACAAAACCAAAAGACAACTGACAGAATGGGAGAAGATATTTGCAAATCACGTAACAGATAAAGGGCTAGTGTCCAAAATCTATAAAGAACTTACCAAACTCAACACCCAAAGAACAAATAATCCAATCAAGAAATGGGCAGAGGACATGAACAGACATTTCTGCAAAGAAGGCATCCAGATGGCCAACACACACATGAAAAAGTGCTCCACATCACTCGGCATCAGGGAAATACAAATCAAAACCACAATGAGATACCACCTCACACCAGTCAGAATGGCTAAAATTAACAAGTCAGGAAATGAGATGCTGGCGAGGATGCGGAGAAAGGGGAACCCTCCTACACTGTTGGTGGGAATGCAAGCTGGTGCAACCACTCTGGAGAACGGCATGGAGGTTCCTCAAAAAGTTGAAAACAGAGCTACCCTATGACCCAGCAATCACACTACTGGGTGTTTACCCTAAAGATACAAATGTAGTGATCCAAAGGGGCACACGCACCCGAATGTTTATAGCAGCAATGTCCAGAATAACCAAACTATGGAAAGAACCCAGATGTCCATCAACAGATGAATGGATAAAAAAGAAATGGTATATATATATATATACAATGGAATACTATGCAGCCATCAAAAGAAATGAAATCTTGCCATTTGCCATGACATGGATGGAACTAGAGGGTATTATGCTTAGTGAAAAAAGTCAATCAGAGAAAGACAATTATATGATCTCCCTGATATGAGGAAGTTGAGAGGCAACAAGAGGGGTCTGGGGGGTAGGAAAAAGGAATAAATGAAACAAGATGGGATTGGGAGGGAGACAAACCCTAAGAGACTCTTAATCTCCAAAAACAAACTGAGGGTTGCCAGGGGGAAGGGGGTAGGGAGAGGGTGGTGGGGTTATGGACACTGGGGAAGGTATGTGCTACGGCGAGTGCTGTGAAGTATGTAAATGTGGCAATTCACAGACCTGTACCCCTGGGGCTAATAATACATATATGTTAATTAAAAAATATAAAAATATAAAATAAAAAAAAAAGGAGTCACCTCCCAGGCGGCTCCTCTTAGTCACGTACACACTGCCTCAGCAAATACCTGCTGAGTCCACCTGCCAGACCCTCTGCGGACAGCGAGGGCGACGCAGTGCCAGAAACGATCCCTGCACGGACAATACACTGATCGAAACGAACACGACAAGGAACTTTGGTACCAGAAAAGCTTCCCTTACTTCTCTCCTGGGCTGGGGGCACAGTGAGCCCCTGTGCGGAGCAGCTGGGCAGTTGGTCTGTTAAGGCAAGTGGCCCACCTCACCAAATCGGGGCTTCAGGGCACTCCCTGCATAGCCTTCACTCTAAAGAAAAGCAGCCTCCCCCACCTGGGGCCACGGACATGAGGTACATGGCAGCAGGCAGGAGCCCCAGCCCATGGACATGGAGGCCTGGGCTTCCAAAGCACACACGCGCTCTCAGATGCTCATCATGAGGGCCCAGTGAAGCCTTCGGCAGTGCTATTGTGCCACAGGCCAGGCCCCAAAACAGTGAACAAAGTCCTGCTAGGGAGGGAATGGGGTAGCTGGCAGGAGCGCCGCACAGCCCATCTGGCTCACTCTGTTCCCGTGTCACAGACACTACGCCTTCTGTGAGACCCGACACGCCTAAAACACCAGCCTTGGGGCGGGGATCCTATCCCAAGGGGCACCTGCCCACGCAGGCAGCCAGTTTGTTTAGCCTGAGTCCTGGGCCAGCCACCTCGTGTGCAAGCCGTGCCAGTTACCACCCACCCTTGGCGACGTGTGTCCTGGGCCTGCTTCTGATTGCTGGGATGTTCCAACTCATCTGTCCTCTCCCGTCCTCTCCATCTTCCACTCCGTGTCCTCAACTTGAAAACAGCTAACAGAGCTGCCCTGCCTCCCTCATAAGGCGATTCTAGAATTAAATGGGACAACATGTACAAACACACAGTTTGGGAACATTTAGAGTCATCACCTGGGCCTCAGCAATGGACGCTGATCCAACCTGACACAGGTGTGCTTGACACTGCACTGGAAATAGTGCACAACTAGAGAGAAATTTCTCCAAACTCTAAGTTTAAGTAGCCTGTTTTACATAAGGGATACAAACCCTAAAGGAAGACTCAGTAAATTCCAAATCTGAGGGAGGCCGTCAACTGAAACTACTGTGAGCAAGCCTGCTAAATAAATCAAGGAACAGCCTACCTCATTTACATTGTTTCAAATGCTTTTAAAAGCTCCCAGCTTGAAAGCCAATAAACGGAAGTAAAGACCAACTGGACCAGATCTTTGTGGAAACCAAAATCAGAGGCCAACTGGCAGCTACTTCCACGACTGGCAAGACCTCAGTTACAGAAAGCTTTTACTCCTCCCACGCGTAGAGACACCTACGGCTTTGCCCACGTGCAGACAAAGGCCCAGAGTGTCGAGAAAAGAGAGAAGGAACAAGGAAAGGCAAACTGAGGCCTTCCTGAATTCGTTCAAACAAGGGGTGACTGGGACAGAGAAAACTGTAAGGGGCCAGCCACTGAGTCGTAACAGATCGGGGCACCTGGGAGGCTCACAGTTGGTTAAGCACCTGCCTTTGGCTCAGGTCACAGTCTCTGGGTCCTGGGACAGATCCCCACATGGAGCCCCGCATGGAGCCCCGCACTGGGCTCCTTGCTCAGTGAGGAGTCTTCTTCTCCCTCCCCCATTGCCCCTCTCCCAGCTTGCGCACACACACTCTCTCTCCCTCAATAAAATCTTAAAAAAAAAAAAAAAAAAGGGTGGAGGATTAGTGTGAAAAGTGCTAACCTGCTCCGTGGCTGCTCAGGACTTTATAGGCTAATCTAGGTTGTTGTATTTCAAGACATGGTGCTGGAACATAACTATTTTAATCAGGAAATGTGTTAGAGCTGAAACGTGGAAAGGCCGTGACTAAACCGTGTAGACTCAAGTGCAGAGCTGCCATCTGGAGCCTGGAGCTGTGCCGTGTACACTTGGAGCACGACTGTCTGACTCCTCTGGTGCGGATGGTTCTTTGGGCCAAGCCATTGTTCTACTTACTCCTCAATCCCTGCTCAGCTGGGGCCATGACTAACTCCCTTTAATTCCTAAAACCATGTTAGCTGGTTTTGAAGTGACAGGGACCAACGCGGAGCTCTATACGCAAGTATTCTGAAAAGCTGTTTCTGAGGAAAGTGATATTGATTTATGGCTTTGTCTTCCGCATATAAAAATATCTATTGCCTCCTTACTCTGTAAACAAGTGTTTTATGTTTTATCTCTAATCAGCACAATCATTTTCAAGGGTAAAATTAATCCCATTTTAGAGATGAGGAAGAATTGAGGCACAGCCAGCATTAAGTCACAAATCCAAGGTCACACAGTGGAAGGGTAGTGCCAGGATATCCACTCGGGGCCCTGCAAAGCCTGTGTGCTTTAGGGAGAGTATGCCCCACTCAGGCCACAGATTAGAATCTTGTATCATAGCACTTTCAGCTAAGAAACAAACTCAAGATTATGTAGATGACTCTTTTACTCTGGCTGTTAGGGTTCAGTGAGAATACCGATCAATTATAATTAAAACCAGAGAATACTTTTTCCCCTTCCCTCCCAGTTGAAAATCGTCTTTCAGCAGCTGCTGCTGCGGGTGAGGGAAGAGAGGTATGCTTGGCATGCTGGAGGGGCCACCCTACCATCAACACTCTGCATTTGCTAAAACTTGACCTTAGCAGTTCTGGCCCATAGGCCCCAACAGACGCTGGCACTTACGTACTCTCATGTCCCCGTGCGTTAATTTCTTCCTGGAGGCTCAGCACACTGGTGAGGTTGATGATCCTCCGCCGAGGGGTACACGCTGCTGTCATTTCCTTTCGGGAATCATCTTCTGCCATTTCTACATCAGAGCTTTCCCGGGGCCTCTTTCTGCAATGAAGGAGCTGCAGATCATGACTATCCTTGAAAACTGGTTTTAAGTCAGCCAAATTTTGTGTATTGCATTTTGGAAAGGGGAGCAGCGTCTCGTGCTGGCTCTGCACATCTGGGTGGGGTCCTTGTGCGGGCAGCAGACTAGCGAGATCAGTCTGTTCTCTGGCACCCCACAGATTGGATGACCCTGAGCCCCCAGCAGCCAGCCCCTGTGCACAGCAGGACTCTGGAGTCACCTGCCCTGTGCAGCTGCAGGGCCCTGCACGTATATGCCCACCATGTCCTGCTCGTTCAGTCCTCCATCAGTTACAGTGCCAGCTGCATGTGACCACGCACCAGACAGACAAGGTGCCGGCCGCCACCATGCTTACTTTCCAGCTGGGGAGTCAGAAAGCCACAGAAGAAGGATCATTTGAAGCAGCAGAAAATGCTAAGAAGAAAAGTAAACAAGTTATCAGCTTGACAGGGCAGTGAGAGGGCCTCTGGCAAGAGGGGATGCGTGAGGCAGTCTTCCGAGGCCCTGAGCACAGGGAGAACAAAGTGGGGAGCTCAGGCAGTTCAGGCCAGCCACAAAGCAGTGTGGATGAGCACCCTACAGGACAGGGAAAGTGGGGGGCTGAAGGAGGGACACGGCAGGTGCACCCAAGTGCAGGGGAAACACTGGTTTTCAGCTGAGGAGTGATACAATCTCATTTCTGGTGTCAGAGATTTCTTTTGACTGCTGTATGGTGAAGAGCTAGTGGTGTTACCTCCCCTGGTGACAGAGACATGTAACCCTGCCCTGCATGAAATGAGATCATGTACGTGAAGCTTCTGGCACAGACTGGGCTCCCTCACAGGTTGCAGCACCCTTGAGGATTCCCTGGAGAAAACCCTGCACGTCGTCTTGCTAGACTGACTTGGCAATGACCAAACTGGAGTCAAGGTACCCGTCCAAACCCCGACGGCCACTCAGTCCTGGGGCTTGGAGGCCAGTTGCCGTGCAGAAGCAAAGTCCTGGGCGAATGCCTTCACCCCAAGCCTGCTGGGGAAGGAGCATCGGCCTGGGCTCCCTGGCTCGGCACTGGGACCCTGACACACTGTGGAGAGTGTCTGGGGGAAGGCAGGGAAAGGACAGGCACTGCTGCCATCCACCTTCTCCCATTCTCATGGCCAGCCCCTGGGCCTCAGGGCCTTCATAAGTCGAACCAAGAAAATGTGTTATTCCTGAGAGGAGTGGAAGCAGCTTTGAGTGGGATGAGGGAGAATCCTCTGGATATTTTAGGGTTCTCTCTAGCCACCTCTGCTATTGAGGCGTTATCAGAATCCCCTACTAAAAATAAAAGATAAATCTTTTTTTCTGATGTGTGTTTAACTCGCACTTGGAACCATGGACTTTTAAGATATCTCAAAGGCCACTAAGTGGGGGACTCTCAAGCCATGGTCAAAGGCAGACAGCGCATAAGGCAGAGCAACGTCCCACTGGAGGCAGGGCAGGTCAGGCAGAGAGAAGCAGCAGGTGGTTCATGCCAAATCAAGCCAGTGGTGGTTTCAGGAAAGAATAGCAGAGGAAGGCTGCACTCCCCCCCAAGTCCATACCTGGGGTTGCCCGGGCTGGAAGGGGGCCCTCTCCTCTCTGACATTTCTGAAGTCCCCTCTGTTGCATCTTCCTCTGTGCCCTGATTTGTGGCAGACGCTTGAGCAGGCTCTGGGAGTTCAAGCATTTCCTCATCTTGCTGTCCAGGCCCGCCACTGGAAGCATCGGTCCTGTCTTCTGGAACAATGGCCTGAGCCTGACTGGACAGAGCCTTGCTCATGGGTTGCAGAAAGGCATCGAGCTTCTGTTCCCGTGAATCTGTGCGGACCATCTGGTGGGCATAGACCTTGTCGCCATTTCCAGAAGCAGATGAGGGGGTCACACCTGTTGTGGATTTAACCACCTCCCCGGAGGGGCCAGCAAGACCTGGTAGTAAAGTCTATGTCAAAAAAGAAGGTAATGGGTTAAAAAAATTTTTTTAATTAAGATTCCTAGCCACTGTGATTTTTCAAGCTCAATGGCATTTACGTGATATATGATTTACTTTACGTTTTTGCTGAACCCTTCTTATATGTTTCAATAAAGTAGAATCCATCTGGGAAGAAGGAAAAAAAGAAGGCAGCAGTGGGATGATTCAGAATATGAAACCAGTAAGTCCAGGTCCCAGAGGCGCCTCGCTGGCTCAGTGTGCAGAGCAAGCGACTCTCGATCTTGGGGTTGTTAAGTCCAAGCTCCAAATTGATTGTAGAGAATAGTTAAAAAAATAAAATCTTTAAATGGGGGGTGGGGGGAGTCCAGATTGCAAAGTGGAGCAACATTGGAGAAAGAAACTAGAACCAGGTTTAATCATCATCACCGAAGTATTAGTATAGAAGCAATTCTGATCAAAACTTGAAGTTTAAAAGATACAGTAGTAAAAATACAAAAATTCAGAAAAATCCCTGTAATTTTAAAATTGTTTTGAAATAGGGAATATTAGCGCAAAGTTCTCATATTTTTGTCTGCTTTTTTTTTGCTGGCATAAGAGGATTTCATTTTTTTATTGAAGTAATTTATTTCATTTTTTATTGAAGTAAAATATACATAAAATTTATCACTTAACCATTTTCAAGCATACAGCTCTGTGGCATTAAGTACATCACATCATTAGACGACCATCACCACTATCTCTAGAACTTTTTCAATGTCCCAAACTGAAACTTTGTACCTATGAAACGGTAACTCACCATTCTCCCCTCCTCACCAGCTTGTGGCAGCCACTGTTTTGTCTGTTTTTAGATATACACATTTCCTAACTCTGTCCACTGGAAAGGCCTAAAGCCAATGACCACTCAGCAGGAATAAGGACCCCCGATCCCAGATTTTAGTCTCTAAATACCATCCCCACTAAAATAAACCAGAGTTCCTTGGAGAAATGGTCAATTCCAGTGCCTGGGCTGGGAAAGCCTACAACATCTTTTCTTGCCAGAAACAAGGAAACCATCAAAGACTAAGGGAATTGAGTCAAAAGGACAAGAGCACTAGTTTGAAGGGGTTTGTTGGTCTAAGATGGGATAATTTGAGGATCCAAGAGAAAAATGACTGTAATTAACTAAATTGTATTGCTTTGTTAACAGCTATCATAAAATATTAAGAGAAAAAGAAAAAGATGGGGAGGGAAAGAGAAAGATGGAGAGGACAAAGTCATTAAACATCACTGGAGATTGCTAGGACATGAACACTTTCCTTTGCAAACTGATAATTAAAGTGATAGAACTCAGCATTTACCCTTACTTTCTAGTGTGAACTGTATTTCAGGATAAACAAAAAGCTCTAACAAATGAGGGAAAGTTATTGTATACAGAAAAATTATAATGAATTAACAGAAAAAATGACAGAATCAGAAAATCATAATCTTGCAATCTTACTGAAATAACTGATTCAGGTAATGGTCGTCAATGAATGGTGAAACCATTAAGCTAAATTTTCCTGGGGAACTTGACAATGAAGGAAACAGGCTGTTACTAGCTAAACCCACAGATGAGCCTTATCACCAAAATGACATAACAAGTCAGTATGCGCCTCCTGCTGGGGCATGACAGAAAGTACATGGCATCATCTATCAAGAATTCTCACTCAGGGGCGCCTGGGTGGCTCAGTGGATTAAAGCCTCTGCCTTCAGCTCGGGTCATGATCCCAGGCTGCTGGGATCGAGCCCCATATCGGGCTCTCCACTCAGCAGGGAGACTGCCTCCTCCCCTCTCTCTGCCTGCCTCTCTGCCTACTTGTGATCTCTGTCTGTCAAACAAATAAATAAAACCTTAAAAAAAAAAAAAAAGAATTCTCACACAGAAATCTCATTCACAAATCTGAACGTAATCATGCCAGTTCATAGGAATTCCCAGTTTACAGGAAATGTGGAAGATTAGAACAAGTTAAATGATACTAAGAAACAATCAGCCAAACAGAAATGTGCATTTTTCCACAGGAAGCCTTCAGAATAAGCCAATAGGAACAACAAAAAAGAATACAGATTTAAAAGAGATTTAAAAGACAACACCTAAATATGGGGAGTGGAACTTAACCTAATACATATTTGAATGAAGCTACTTTATAAAAGGATCTTTTTTGGACAGTTGGGACATTTGAATATGGACTAGATATTAAATGATAATATTATTAATTTTGTTATGTATACAAAAAGACATTGTAATTATACAAGGAAAAAATATTTTAAAATGCATAAAATACTAGGGAAAAAAGTAAATGCCTGAAATGTAATTTAAAATATTCTCTTCCCTTCAGGTGCCTGGGTGGCTGAGTCAGTTAAGCATCTGACTCTTGGCTTCAGCTCAGGTCATGATCTCAGGATCATGGGATCGAGCCCCCATCCGGCTCCGTGCTCAGTGCAGAGTCTGCTTGAGATTCTCTCTCCCTTTCACTGCTCCTCCCATTTGTGCACGCTCTCTCTCTCTCTCTAAAATAAATAAATCTTTTGATAAGCAAGCATACTTCACATCACTTGCCATCAGGGAAATACAAATCAAAACCACAATGAGATACCACTTCACACCATTAGAATGGCTAAAATGAAGACAGGGAACAACAAATGTTGGCGAGGATGCGGAGAAAGGGGAACCCTCTTACACTGTTGGTGGGAATGCAAGCTGGTACAGCCACTCCAAAAACCACTATGGATGTTCCTCAAGAAGTTAAAAAGAGGGGCGCCTGGGTGGCTCAGTGGGTTAAAGCCTCTGCCTTTGGCTCAGGTCATGATCCCAAGGTCCTGGGATTGAGCCCCACATTGGGCTCTCTGCTCAACAGGGAGCCTGCTTCCTCCTCTCTCTCTCTGCCTGCCTCTCTGTCTACTTGTGATCTCTATCTGTCAAATAAATAAATAAAATCTTAAAAAAAAAAAGACCTTAGTATCAATTCTTTAAACAAACAAACAAACAAACAAAAAGAAGTTAAAAAGAGAATTTCCCTAAGATCCAGCAGCTACACTACTGGGTATCTACCCCAAAGATCCATATGCAGTGAAAAAATGGGACACACGCATCCCAATGTTCATAGCAGCAATGTCTACAATAACTAAACTGTGGAAGGAGCTGAGATGCCCTTCAGCAGATGAATGGATAACGAAGATGTGGTTCATATGCACAATGGAATATTACTCAGCCGTCAGAAAGGATGAATACCTACCATTTACATCAACATGGATGGAACTGGAGATTATGCTCAGTGAAATGAATCGATCAGAGAAAGGCAATTATCCCATGGTTTCACTCACATGTGGACTGTAAGGAATAGTGCAGAGGACCACAAGGGAAGGGGAGGAAAACTGAATGGGAAGAAATCAGAGAGGGAGATAAACCATGAGAGACTCTGGACTCCAGGAAACAAACTGAGGATTGCAGAAAGGGAAGTGGGAGGGGGGATGGGGTAACTGGTGATGGCACTGAGGAGGGCACGAGATGTGATGAGCAACGGGTGTTCTATGCAACTAATGAATCACTGACCTTTACATCAAGAAATGAATGATGCATCATATGTTGGATAATTGAACTTAAATTTTAAAAAAAGTAAAAAACGGGCGCTTGGGTGGCTCAGTGGGTTAAAGCCTCTGCCTTCAGCTCAGGTCATGATCTCAGGTCCTGGGATCGAGCCCTGCATCGGGCTCTCTGCTCGGTGGGGAGCCTGCTTCCTCCTCTCTCTCTACCTCTCTGCCTACTTGTGATCTTTCTCTCTCTGTCAAATAAATGAATAAAATATTTAAAAAAAAAGTAAAAAACAAAAACAAACTAAAAAAACCACCACTCTTTTCCCTACCACCAAGTGAGAAAGGGAAAGAGAAAACAAATATGGCAAAATGATAATGGTTGTTGAAGCTGGGTGACAGGTACATGGATTATTGGTGTAATATCTACTTTTATGTGTACTTAGAAATATTCAATAATGAACTAAATAATAAAAAGTTAAACAGAGTAGCAAAACTGTTCAAAAAGGAGAAACCTCCCTTTGTGGAAAACGTAAAATCCTTCCAGTGTACACAGGCAAATGAAGTGAATATAGTTGACCCTTGAACAAAGCAGACTTGAACGCTGTGGGTCCACTTACATGCAGAATTTTAATAATACAGTGCTGTAAATGTATTTTCTCTTCCTTATGATTTTCTTAGTTAACAGTTTTTCCTAGAATACTTTATTATAAAAATACAGAATATAACACATTCACAAAATACATGTTAGTCAACTGTTTATGTTATCAGTAAAGCTTCTCATCAACAGTAGGCTAATAGAAGTCAAAGTTTTGTAGAGTTCAGATTTTTGACTGTCCAGAGGGTCAGTGCCCCAAGCCCTGCACTATGTAAAGGTCAACATTGTATTTGCTTCATTCGCCTGTGCCATAGCCACAGGAGCAGAAATTAACAGAACTACTTTGCAGATAATCATTTTAAAGTCCAGAAAAGTGAAACACCTTGTCCAACAGGACAGAGTAGCAACAAATCCCAGGAGGCCCTGGGCTTCCCGATTTCCATACTGAATGGCTTCACCACAAACCAGGGCTTATGCCATAGGCCCTGGGCAGTGTGGTGCAAGACAGAGGTGGGGAGTGGGAGAGAAGGTATTCTGATGCCCCCAGAGGAGTGGTGACAGCTCTGAGTTTGAACCCTGCCACCCACAGCAATGCTCCAAGGCTTGTGCCACTACACCGACTAGCGCGGGGGGCGGGGGGGGGGGGCGCCTGATCCAGAAACCCACTTTCCTTCTGAAGACACACTGGTCAGGACTATGCAGAATTCTATGGGGAAAGACAATGTAAGCTAAATGAATCTGACTTGTGCAAGATAAGACAAGGAGGAAGGCAAGAAGTTCTTTCCCCAGTATGGCACACACTCCAGGACCTCCAGCAAAGCTCTTTCTTTCGATCTCAGTTAGGACAGAGCAAGGGATAACCACTCTGGCCCAGACAATGTGCTCCTCGTTTTCACCTCACACTTTCAGCCTGTCCCCGCACCCCGCCCCGGCCCCGCTCCCCGCCAGCCACACCTTTCCCAGGTCCGGGCAGTTCCAGATCTTTAACTGTCTGTGAGTGGAGTTACCTCCTCTGCCCAGACCTGTCCTTGTTGTCCCAGATAGCCGCGGGGCCTCCAGCCATCCTTGCCCCAATGTGACCACAGGATTCTTCATAAAGGGCACACTGGATCTTGTGGATTCCTGTCACACCAAAGTGTAAGCTCCTTAACATGCTGACAGAAGTGTCATCAGGGCTGGGACCCCTGCAGTCTCCTCTCTCCAGGGCCAGCTCCCCCCCCGCCCCCCCCACTGGGCCCACACACAGGCCTCCCCCCAGCTGCACATTAAAGCACCTGGGAAAACTCTAAAACTACTGATGCCGCCCACCACCCCCCCGCCCCGAGACTGATTTCTTGGTTTGGAGAAGGCCCAGGAGGCAAGGGTGCTTTCTGTTTCCCCAGTGATCCTGAGGGCTGCCAGGGTAAACACTGGACCCACCGCATGGAACTTTCACACCCTCAAGCACACGTCTTCCTGTCCCCCTCACCCCTCAGGCCTTCTCCTCACTGCTTCCTCTGCCAGAAACACTCTTTTCGTGCCTTGTTCCCTTTGCCCATCTCATTTCGTACCCAGCCCTGGGGTCCCAGCCTCTGCATCCCTTCCCTTTCTTTCCTGACTGCCGAAGTCCAGGATAGGAGCCTTCCCCTGATCCCCCCAGGTCCCTCTTTACCTCTCTCTCATGGGATGTATTCCCCAGGAGACCAGGAGCGCCTCCGTGAAGGCAGGTACCCAACAGGGTCTCGCCCACAGTGGGGGCAGTGCACATCTGTGGGGAGGCAGAGGACGAGGAGCAGCAACAGATAGGAACCGAACTCCCAGTGACTGAGCACTTCCTGGGTATCACACACTGCTCTGAGAGCCGGGCCCACCAGCCCTACACCATGTGTGTCCTCATCTCAACCACTGGCACCACACAGGTCTGTGCACCCATCACCTCTGCTGACTCGAGCCTCCTGTGGCAAACCTAGCAGAAGACTGAGGGCTGGCTCCCAGCGAGCACTTCCTTCTGTCCACCTGCCACATACAAGTGGCTTCAGCAGCGACCCTTGGGCACTCACTGCCCAGCCTCTGCCTGGGCTCCAGAGGTGGCAGGGCTTCCCCTAGGGCATCCACTCTCACTGCTTTGTGCCCATGCCACCCCCAGCAAGGGGCTTTCTGTGAAGGTTCCTGTGGGAAGCATAAACTGCCTCGTGAACTTGAAAAGTTTTCTTTTTAAAGTAGGCTCCCAGAAGCCCACTCTCTGCTTGCAGGACCCAGTGCTTCCATTTCTTTTCTTCTTCTTCTTCTTTTTTTTTAATGGGAGGAGGGGCAGAGGGAGACAGAGAGAGAGAATCTCAAACAGGCTTCAGGCCCAGTGTAGAACCTGATGCGGGGCTCAACCCCACAATCTTGAGACCATGACCTAAGCTGAAATTCAGAGTCAGATGCTTAACCAACTGAGCCACCCAGGTACCCATCTGCGCACCACCCCCGTCCCCACCGGCTCTTGTTTTCAAGGGGGTAAGAGGGTGGGGAAGGGGGGATGTTTCCGTCTCCACAGTTCTGGGATTTGGTGTGCTTCTGAGCACACCTGCACCATGTGCTGCTCAGTATCACGTCATGTCAGAACTGGGATGGGACACTGCAGATCGCATTATCCACCCATTTATTTTACAGATGGGCAACGTGAGGCCCCGGAGAGCTGGGAGTAGCTTAGAATCATAAGCACTTAGAACCTGGGTAATTCTGATAAGGTGGATGGTGCCAGGCCCTGCATCAAACACTTCTGCCTCCTGCTTGTCCCCACCCTCAGAGGTGAGGATGACCACTTCAGCCCTCACTGAGGGAGACATGGAGACCGGGGAAGGTGGGTCACATGGTGGTAACCCAGGCCTGTCTGACACGAAAGGCCCTGCTCCTCCCGCTGTCCCACTGCCTCCCTCTGCCCCGTGAATGTGGGCTTGGCCTCCTCCTGAACATCCCCAGGCAAGACAGATGCACGGAAGTGGTGTCCTATTCTGTTTCAGACAGCTTGTTTTCCTGAGAAGCCAGTCTATGGTCCTAGATGCAGGCAGAGTGAAACCGTGAGCCTCCTGACTCCAGGCCCAGGGACAACAGGATGATTTCACGGTTAGCTTCAAAAAAGGAGATAGTACTAAAGGAAAACTTTCAGGTAATCCTTGGAAAGTCAGTCCTAAAGCAACAAGCAGAACTCTGGGCTCTTGAATCTGACAGGTCACATTTTTAGGTGAAGGTGAAAGCACCAGAGCCAGAGCTGGACAGACAGCACCCTTACCTGGGTGAAGTACATTCTGGAGGAGTTGGAACCCAGGAGCTTACTCTCAATGTGCTGCTGCACCCGCTCCAGGATGCTGTCCTCATGCAGGAAGTGAACTTCGTGCTTTGTGGGGTGCACATTGACATCCACGTTCTGGGGGCTGATCTCTAAACTGGCAGGAAGAAAAGCACACAACTATGTTGAGTGGTGGGGAGTGGGAAAACAATTCTCACCAGCAGGCTTGTAGGGGTTCAAATGACACAGTGGTCAAAACTTCAGGGTCAAGTCTGAGTGACCTGGATTCTGAAGCTGTGCAACCTGGGGTCAGTGACATCATCTTCCTTTGCTTCAGTCTCCACCTCTATAAGGTGGATAAAACATGTGGTGGGGCTTAAATTCATGCAAAACACGCTGTGAGTACCTGGCAAGTTTATTCCACGTCAGCTGTTACCATCATTCCAGAACTAGTAGAATTTCTTAGTGCGTGACCTGGGGTAAGCTACTTAACCCCTCTGGATGGGTTTTCTCATCTGTAACCATGAACCTGTTCCCTAGCTACTTTCAGTGTTATGAGGATCAAAATAAGAATACACGTGAGAAAAGGTTCTATCATCAAAATGTAATGTACAAGTCAGCTTGGAGGCCGTGCCAGCCATCACCTGACTGCCTCAGCTCCACATTCACCCTTCACTGCCTGCTCCATGACCACACGGTGAATCTGTGGCAGGAGGGGATGCTGGAGGGACCGTGGAGGGGCAAGGGGCTTCTCTGCCAGGGAGGAGGCAGCTTCTGGCTGGTTCAGGGGCAACAGCTGTTATTCACCATTGTTTCACCAGCAAGGTGACGGGTACATAGGAGGCCCTCAGGGAGACTGCTGCATGAGTGAGTAAGTGAAGGGAAACTGTGCCCCTCATCTGCGAGAAAGGACAGAACATCCTTCGCCATCCTGCCAGCGGTGATGGGATTCGCTCTGCTGGAGCCATGAGCAAGTCCACCTCTTTCAAAGAGGACAGCTGGATAGAATCCGTTCCTTGTGAGTCTCTGAGTCTCGGCTGAGGAGCCCTGCAGCCTTACCTGAGGTACAGGAATGGGTGTGTGTTTTTGGGCAAATATGCGGCATACACTGTTTCAATGGCTTTTCTTAAAGAAGTTGACTCTACCAGACGATCTAGAAAATAAAAGGAAAGTAACCAGCTCAAAACTGTCCTGAAGGGAGAGGTAACAGGCACACATTCATACCATGACAGAAATCACTCAGCAGAAACACTTCTGGAGCAACATCCACAGCAGACCCTAGGAAAGAGAGGTCTCTCTTAATGTGTCGCTATCCATGAGCATCTGGCTCTGGGCTTCGGGCTCTCTCCTCTCAGCCCGGTCACAGGAACACGGGAGCACACTACGTTCTGCCTCCCCGCTTCCCTTCCCTCAGTCAGCCTGGGAGGACTCCCTTTGCCCTTGCAGGGCACGGTGGGCAGTGTGCCGGCGGCTTAGACTTTTCATGCAGCACATACTCCCTGGCTGCCCATCACATATGCCATGGGCTGGGGGACAATACGCTGGTGACTACATGCACTCCAGTTCCAGCTCTGGTAAGCACCCCAGAGATGTGTGTGCTGAATGGATGTGTGCTGATGGAGCAACTAACTCTGCCCAGGGTGGGGGTGGGTTCAACAGTGGGGTATCCCAGCTGAGCAATGAGAGTAAGAAAGAGTTTTCCAGAGGCTCCTGGGTGGCTCAGCTGGGCGTCGGCCTTCAGCTCAGGTCATGATCCTAGGGTCCCGGGATCGAGTCCTGCATTGGGCTCCCTGCTTGGTGGGAAGCCTGCTTCTCCCTCTCCCTCTGTCTGCTGCTCCCCATATTTGTACACACTCTCTCTCTGTCAAATAAATAAATAAAACCTTCAAAAAGAAAAGAAAAAAGGAAAGAGTTTTTCAGACACTTCATATTTAAGGTAATTTAGGAATGGGACAGGGCTGAAGGGGGTGGGAAAACACTCAAAGCTGGGGGAGGTAAGACAAAAATCAGAGGAAAATCTATTTTCAGAAAATTGAGCCCTCCCTTCTCCCTGGACAGATGACCTGCCGGTGGTCCGTTCTCCTGGCTTGGCTGGTGTAGCCAAGGGTATATGCCCCATGGTTTTAGCTCCTCCGAGGGCCCCCCTACAACAAGGGTGCTGTGCTTGGTGACACATGCCTGGAGCACACAGGCCTGGAGCAGGTGTGGGCACCTGACAAGGGGATAGTCAGAGCCCCTCTACTGTGATTTCTGGGCTGGAGACACGCCGAAGGAGTGTTCCTTTTCCCACCACCTGAGTTAGAGCGCACGCCATGGAGAGAACCAGATGACACACTCCAGAGTCTGGCCTCCGTGCTGCTGGGAACTTGGTGCGGTGAGCAGACTCGAGAACGCTGACGCTGAACCCGTGGGGTAAGGAGCTCGCCAGCAGCACACACATGGGCTCCGCTTACACTGATTTCTGCTCACTTATTCTATCGCCAACACATGTGTCACAAAGTGGTATTCTTCAAGGTTAGAAAAACAAGGGAAAAACATCTCTGAGCCTTGATTAAAGCCAGCTTTATTAGAGATCAGGCTTAAGTCCCTCTTAATGAGGTAGTTAAAAAACCCTACTAATGTAATATACATCAGTTTAACAGGATGTGTCTATAAAATATTAACTCCCCTTTCCCTGTTTCTATATGGCCTGGAAACAGCTGTAAAACAAGGATAATCTGGGACACTTCTGGCTGGCTATCATTATAAATGCAACAGGGGAATCTGCCATTTTCAATAGCAAGCCAAGAAACTATAAAATAATTACGAAGTGCTTTGAACAACAAAGGCAATGAATTTATATGATGAAAATGTAAGTACTGGACAAATGGCAAGATGAATGATGCATTTCTGTCTGGAAAATTAAAATGAAATCAGACCCATTGTGGCTCCCTGTCACACTCTTTCTAAACCATACTATAAGCAATTAAGTAAAAAGAAACAGAAGGCAAAATAGTATTTACTCAACAAGCAGCAATCATGTAAACAATATGCCTGCAGAGAGATAAAGACCAGAGAGGAATCTGACAAAAATCCAAATTCCTTTAGCTAATTTCCTCCCTGATTTCTAGTACTGCTCATTATATCATAAATAACTTTCTTTAAAAAGAAGAATCCCAAGGGGCTTAACATTCCATTTCTTTACTAATGACACTGCCTATACCCAAGGGACCCTCTCCCTGTGTCCTGCTGGGCAATTCAAACAGCTGACTCTAATATGAGAAGAAACATCTGCCTGGGGCCTGCTTGGAAGGCTCTGAGGCCAGCAGGGAAGGAAGCTGTTCAGGCTCACAAGGGTCTGTGATACCCTCTCCCAGAGGCAACAGTCACCCTCTGCCAGTGGCCCCCCCAGCAATGAGCATATTTCAGAGGGCTGAGTAGACTTAGCCTAGAAATTATAAAGGCTCCCTAATCAAGCCACACTTCAGCTGAGGGTGCCCTGTGTGGAATCAAGCCTATGGATTGGGAATTTTTCCACGGTCCCATAAACTTCCCTGTGGACAGACTTCCCCGCATGGTTCTTTCTCACTTACGGTTGATGAAGAGTAAGAAGATGCACTTCTTCACCGAGTAATTTGCATTGGATATGTAACCATTCATTTTGAAGGCCAGGGTTTTATCCTCACACGCAACTTCTATCAGTTCTCTGGTTGGGAAAGAGAAATTTTGAGGGTCTTGAAAATAATGGAAAATTCAATCAGTATAAAGATTCAGTTGGAAAACTCAGAGCTCCTTCATAAACTAATCCTGCCAAATAAGGACTCCTGAGACTTGGTTTGATGAGGTCCTCTGGGCCCACCCATCCATCCATCTGGCTGTTCCTCCACCTACCCACTTACTCACCCTATCACTGTTTTCAAGCACTTCTGTTCTAAGCCAAGCACTGCTCGGACTGCTGGGACATAATGACAAATCCAAGCTCTGACACCTTATTTCACTGAAACTTTTGTGTACCTTAGTAACTCAACCCCAAAGATGAAATTCCGAAAGGACTCATTTCTACTGAATCCCTTACTGTCTGAACAGCACCAAAACAGGGCTCCAGTGTGGTGTCCTCAGGGCTGTACTTACGGGGAGGTGAGGTTAATGGGTGAAAGGTGGTTCTCACATAAGCCACACTCGTCTCTGCGTGAGGATCTTCCTAAGCGTCGGTCCCCATGCCTGGAAAGCTCCTACTGACAGCTAGGTAATCCCTCCTTATCCCTCCTAGGTCTGGGCTTACTCCTTCGAAGAGCTTTCTCTGACTATCCCTCCCCCTGACTCTCAGAGATTCTCCTGTTGTGCTTTGTATTTTTCCTTTGAGACATCTAGCACAACCACTAATGAGTGGCATAATTATTTCACGTGTCTTTCCAACTGAAAAGGCATCCTCTGAGGGCAAGAGCACTTCTGCTTTACGTCCTACTGTATTTGTCAGCACAGTACCCGGCAAACAGTAAGCATTCATTAAGCATCTGTTGAACATGTGGTGGAAGACTGTTAAGCAGTTAATGTTTACAGAGTCTCTGAGCAGAAAATACAGCTTGCAGTGTTTCTCACATAAACCAGCAAACCCTTTCTTCCCAAAAATGTCTCAAGAGGCTGTTTTTCTGGAAACACCCTTTGGGAGCTGCTCTGTGTCATTTCTAATCTCTTATAGTCCCTAGGAAATTCATAATGACTAATTCTGAGTCCTTAAATAATAAAGAAGCTCTTACAAGTTTCCTTGTACAATAGTGTTCTCTCTCTGCTCTGGGAACACAGTTTAAAAAACTTAATTCATTAACAATTAGTAAAGAGGGTAATTAAAAGCAAATTGACTGTTACCTAGTTAGGAACTTGGTTTTGCTCAAAGAAATGAGTAATTTGTCCTTTGAAGTAGAAAACTGGGCTCTGGGACTACCGCTACTTCTAGGATTTCTGCAAAAAAGAAAGCCAGGGGCTGTCTTCTCCATCTGCATATGCCCTGCATCCAGGCCATGCCTGGCAGGTAGAGGGGCCTTAGTATTCTTCCCCTCAGATTACGGCATGGGCACTTTGGGCTCTGCAGAGTCCTGAGACTTAGCTAGGACTCTGTGATGGAAGTGGTGGGTTTTGCCTCGTAAGGAATGCTGTGAGCAATCTATACCACAGGTTCCGTCTGAGGCTCTTCCTGACAATGAAGATTTGGTAACTTAGAAATCTGCTTGCCACCAGACGGGTAAGTCTTTAAGGATAGGGAGTATTTTATCTGTCTTTACATCCTTAACTTCCGGCACAAAGCCTAGAATGTGAGAGGCAATTAATAAATGTTGAGCCATAATGAGTGAAATCTCAAGCTGATGATATGGGAAGTATTAGGAAAAGACAAAGCACTGGAAGATGAAAGAATTCTACAACCTTGTGATTATTTTGAAGACCGAGGCTAGAGAGAACACACTGATTTACAGCCAGAGCATCTGGGAGATAACATGCACCCAAGAAGTGTGGGTTTCCCTGAAATCATGAATCCATGAACAAATCTGGAGCATGGAAATATAGCCTGCTTATTTCATTCAAGCAAACTCTTAAGGCACTGTTACTTTGACAGATTCCAAAATTCCTAAATGGTAAACCAAGACGTGGAATACAGATTTTTCAAAATATGAATTATCAACATACCGGCTAACAGCATTTCCAAAGATGGAGCGAATATTGTCCACCGTTGTGGCATTGGGCAGTGTCCTAACGTCAGCCACGGTCTCACCTTGCTGATAAACAGAGCAGAAAATGCAATTTACTCACAGTTGTGAATGAAACATCCTAATCTTATCTCCTCAGGTGAACTATTAAAAAAAAAATCCCTTTTCTTAAATACAAACTATCCCTTATAAACCAACCACTTACTTTTTTAACTGAGAAACTAATGCCTGAATTATGTATTGAATACCTGTCAAAGAAAAGACAACAAAACAGTAAGCAGAGTGGCCAAAAGCACAATATAACACAGAACTCCCTATTGGTTAAATAAATTGTTGGGGTGACATGATTTAAACAAAGACAGACAGTCAGGAATATCTCCATATATCATATTTTACCCACAGGAAAATAAGCCAACACAGACTTAATGGAGATAGCAATGCTAAATGTGGCAGAATCAAACAAAAACAGAGTTTTTGCTTTTTTAGTTCTGACTAGACTCAATGATATTTCAATACAATCTCTTCCTCGCCTACTGTTTTACTTTCACAAACCCACTAGGTGCAGCTTGCATCTCAAGAACCTACGCTGTACAACTCCTGAACTCTTCTATTCTCTCTCAGAGCCTCTCAAGACACCTGCTCCTTACCCACTTCTTTTTTGGCCCCAGGCCCTGTTTCAGCATCTCCCAGTCTTTTCTCAGTTGACTATTATTTATTTATTATTCCTCCCTCATGGGCCCCATGAACTGAAGGACTGTGTCTAGCAAAATGCATTCATTCAGCTAACAATTATGAATTCACTTGACTATACCTAGTACCAAAAAAGCCAACTAGAACTCCTTTATTTCAAGAGATAATTAATATTCTGATACTGCTTTATACAACTCCAAGGAAAAGCAAAGAAACTTAATGTAGAAGTCTGTTCCACTTTATAAGGAGCAAAAGTTTTATTCATTTTTGGAGTTTTCAGAAACTGAAAAATAGTTAATAGATCTCTGCTACCACTCCAGGATGTGTAGGCTTAGAGAGCCCATCTGGATCCACTGAACAGTGGACATAATGTTATTTTCACTGGCCCTGAACCCTTTCTCCTTCTTTTAACAGGCCCTAGTCTTCCTTTGGGAAACTACCTCTTCCCCATTCCACCTGATTTACCTGAGACTGCCAATCAGGGAATTTCCCCATAGAAAAAAGGCACATGACGGGGGGACCCAAGCCATGCCAATCAGATGCACTCTCTTAGGAAACAGACTCTCTTTTTTTTTTTTTTTTTAAAGATTTTATTTATTTATTTGACAGAGAGAGATCACAAGTAGGCAGAGAGGCAGGCAGAGAGAGAGAGAGAGAGAGGAGGAAGCAGGCTCCCTGCTGAGCAGAGAGCCCGATGCGGGACTCGATCTCAGGACCCTGAGATCATGACCTGAGCTGTTAGCAGAGGCTTAACCCACTGAGCCACCCAGGCGCCCGGAAACAGACTCTTGAGTAGAGTCAGGAAAGAATGAAAACAACTGTAGCAGGGGTACTATCTAATCCCCAAAGCCAGCCTGGTTTTCATCCTCTCCACGGAGCAGGTGCTGACATTTCTTGCCACTCTTAGCCTTCCAATAAATTTCTTTTGGGTTCAAGTTAGTTGGAAGTCCATCTGTTTTGCTTTCCACCACAGAACACTTGCCAATGGAGAGACCAACTGCTCTCCCAGGGAGATGAGAGGAAGCCCAGAACTGGCGACTAAAGCTTGACCAGAAACAATCCATATGCTAGAATACAATGTGCTGTTTTCCACCTAGCTCACCAACTGTTCTTAGATTAAGCACTGGCACACATTCCTTCAGTGAGAGATGGCAAAGAACCACTCTCAGACTTTGGACTGTACCTGCCAACAACTTCCAAAATTTTCCCATACTCTTCACTTGCATTTTTTAAAGCTTTCCTCCTCGTGGATATGTTGTAAAAAAGGTCCTCCACCTGAAATGAAATTGATTTTCTCTTGTAAATTCACAGAAATACATGGAAATAAAGACCCAAGCTGTCTACCTAAAGCTGGCTAGCAGAGAATCCAACTATACTTACCAACAGTACAGTTTAAAGCACTGATTGGGGGAGAGGACAAGAGATAAGTTAGCCTTAACAAAGGAAATAAAGGATATTTTTCCTGCTTCCCATATTCATTAACTGATTTCTCAAATAGGTACTGAGGGCTATCTTTAGGTCAGGCTCTTTGCTTTGTGCTGGGAATACAAAGACCAATAAAGCACAGTCTTACCCAGGATAGTACACGATTCAGAGGGGGCAAACATGTAAATTTACCAATAATTATATTATCACATGGCATCTAAGAATATTTTCTAAACTAAGAGTTCTTATAAAAATGTCTGAGATCATTTGGGCTTCTTGGAAATCACACCCTGGTTACTCTGTGTACTGGATCTGTCTTAACATGCACTTAACATTCACTTCTGCCTCCTGCCCGTCTTATCCCATCTTATCAAGGCAAGGGTTTACAGCCTTCAGGGAAATGTGTTCTAGCTGGGGCTGGAGGTATGAGGGGTGCGATGCATGACAGTGGGATGCTTTGTAAGATCACACAATGGGAGGAGACCAAACATGGCACCACAGAAATAAGGCAGCATACTAGACTTTTTCTGATTAATGATACAACCATATTATCAAACACTAAGTGGGCAGATATTCTTTATTCCGTTTGAGAGATGGGAGAAGTGAGATAAAGGGAAACTAAACAACTTGCCTCTGGACACATAATCACTGAGTGACCAGGCTGAGACTCCAACTCATGTCTTCTGGAGCCAAGTTTAAAGGTCATTTCAATGCCAACTACCTTGCACTCATTTCTGCCATCCCAGTGAAAGAATCTCCCAGCCTTTGAAAAAGATGGAGGGAGTGCACACAGGCTGCCATGCCATTAAAGCCATAATCAGTCCTGTTGTTTAGAGAGAAATGTCTTTGTTTCTATTAACTAGCAAAGATTCATTTTATTATTACTTTGAAAACTCAGAGACAATTTTTTTTGAGACAATTTTATTCTTTATGTCAGAATTTCTACAAAGCTCTTTTTCAAAAATTCATATTCCTTGTGCCATACTTACTGTGATCTGGGTCCCCTGATTGCCTGCACATGGTTTAGGAGGAGCTTTCAGCTTTCCATCTGAGTAATTTGCTCTTAAGAGAAAATATAAGAGACTATTAATATCCAAGAGGCATGGAATATCAATCCAAACAGTATAAAAAATAATTATATCAAATAAGGTACAGCCATGCTCTCTACTGTTTTAATTACCATTTTCCTCTTTTTCTACGATTCCATTATCATTCCAATTGGATACCAAAAAAAAAAAACCCCTATTGTTCTAGCAAATGTTGCTTTTTAGTTCCTGAGTTTTGAGCTAAAAGCAATAGTTTTGCTATTGCCTACCATGACAACAAAAATTTTTTTATAATTATGTAATCATTTATGGGGGGGGGTTACCAAATAATTGGCCTGCAGAGGCCTTGGTAACAAAGAAAGGCCCTGGAGAGCTCTCAATCTAGGGGACACACTTTTTCCTAAAGTGCAAGACTTTGTGCTAAGTGATCTAGAGAAGCAAACATTCACCTGGGGGCCGGGGAGGGGAGTGAAAGCGTCACAGAAAAGATGACAAGGCTCTAGGGAGGAAGAGTTTCAGGGAGAAAACACAGAAGACCATTGAGGCAGAGAAAAACAGAAAAGCACAGAAGCTTTGGAACACCTGGCAGCTGGGAATTTGTGGAGAGAAGAGGCTGGAAAGGTGGATGGAGAGCACAGTGCATGTGGGGGTGGTCTGTTTAGGAATGGCTCTGGATTTCATACCACCATGGAAGGGGAGCCACTGGAGGTACCGAACAGGAGCATAATATAACCTTGGCGATGAAGGAACAGAATTTGTGTCCCAGGCCATTTAGGGAGACATTAATTCACAAGTATCTCCCCGTTTTGCGGGAAGGAATTCTGACCCAACAGCACACCCAGATCCTACGGCAAGTAAAATTCACATAGCATCAAACTCACCCAGCAACAGCGCTGTATATTCTGGAATGCTCCCTGTTCCATTACATTACAGGTGTGTCTTCTGAGGACTGATAAACAGGCAGCCCGCCACTGTTGGAGCTATTTTCCATATTAATTTATGGACAGTCCGCATGATTTAAAAAAATTCTTTTTTAAGGTACTCCTAAATAAGGTACTCCTACCTGTCTTCCACTAGTAAATGGCCAGAGCTTATAAAAACAGAGGTGTAGGGGCACCTGGGTGGCTTAGTAGTTAAGCATCTGCCTTCAGCTCAGGTCATGATCCCAAGGTCCTGGGATCGAGCCCTGCATTGGGCTCCCTGCTCAGCAGGAAGCCTGCTTCTCCCTCTCCCACTCCCCCTGTTTGTGTTCCCTCTCTCGCTGTCTGTCAAATAAATACATAAAATCTTAAAAAACAAAACAAAAAAACAAAAACAACAGAGGTATAACTCTGATTCCTCAAATGCTATTTTTATTCTGTTCCAAGGCTGTCTGTCAGCCTCTGAATACTGTGGCAGCACAAGAGAAAGCCGGCTCAGCATTGCCCCCTGCCCGCCCCCAATGGAAGGGCAAGCCAGCTCAGATAAGCATGTGGGGCAGGGAGCCAGGGGTTCACGAGCCAGCTAAGGAACCTTGAGCTTCCAGCACCCAGCCACAGCCCTGTCATCAGACAAAGTAACATCCTACTAAAGGGCACAGGGCCAGAATAATACCCGCTTCTACCACCTACTTAGAATACATCTGTGTAATAGAGCTTGCAAGGACTTACATGTGACATCTTATCTGTTAAGAATCCATGAGTAAGATTATTACCTAATAATCATCCCTGTGGATTATCAACTAGTCCATAGGGAGGGAAGAAAATTTAACCAAGATCTTGGTCAAAAAAGATGACATTGGTGTTTAGATAGGGTCACTTTGAGATCCAGGCATAAAGCACGCTTCAGAATGAATACGAGTAAAAGCAGACTGTGCCATACCTGTACGCGCACTTTGCATCAGCTGTTTTGGTTGTAATAGTAACATGAGCCACATGGCTGATGCTGGCTAAAGCCTAAGGAAGAAAACAAAATGGAATGAAAGACAAACATTGCTGTCACCCACTGTCACCTCATTAAAGAGAAAGGTGATCTAAATTACCCCTTCCATTTTGTATTAGCAAAGGGCAACAATGGGCATTTCGCTCACTCACTTTCATGACATGCTAAAAAAAAAGGATATCAAATTGAATTTGTAAAAAAAAAAAAATTGAATTTGTAGCATCCTATCAGAACAAGGGGGAAATAAATATGAAAAAAAATGCAAAAGGAAACACAACAGAGTTATTTTTTAAAATTTATTTTAAATCCAGTATAGTTGGGGTATCTGGGTGGCTCAGTCAGTTAAGTGTCCCACTCTTGATAATTGGCTCAGATCATGATCTCAAGGGTTGTGAGCCTCACATTGGGCTCCAAGTTCAGCAGGGAGTCTGCTCGAGATTATCTCTCTCCCTCTGCTCCTCCTCTGCTCCTATGTGTACATGTGTGCACACTTTCTCAAATAACTAAGTTTTAAAAAAAGAAAAAAATAAATCCAGTATAGTTAACATACACTATTACATAAGTTAATTTCAGGTGTATAATACAGTGATTCAATAATTCTACACATTACTCAGTGCTCATCACAGTAAGTGTACTCTTAATCTCTCTCACCTGTTCCACCCATTGCCCTCCACCGCCTCACCCCTGATAACCATCAATTTGTTTTCTATAGTTAAGAGTCTGCTGTTTGGTTTATCTCTTTTTCCCCCCTTTGCTTGTTTCTTTTTTTTTTCAAGATTTTATTTATTTATTTGATAGACAGAGATCACAAGTAGGCAAAGAGGCACACACAGAGAGAGAGGAAGGGAAGCAGGCTCCCTGCAGAGCAGAGAGCCCGATTCAGGGCTCCATCCCAGGAACCTGGGATCATGACCTGAGCTGAAGGCAGAGGCTTTAACCCACTGAGCCACCCAGGCGCCCCCTTTTGTTTTGTTCCTTAAATTTCACACATAAGTGAAATCATATAGTATCTGTCTTTCTCTGACTGACTTACTTTACTTTGCATAATACCCTCTGGCTCCATCCACGTTGTTGGAAAGAAACACACCAGATTATTAATGTGTTAGCAGCAGGTGCGTTCAGGCAGCAGAACTACAGGCATGCTCAGTATTATTCTCAATGATCTGCCTCCCAATAATTTTGAAAACTTACCTTCAGGAATGGGGGCACTCCAAATACATAATGTTGCACACATACACAAAACTGTTTTCTGGAAGCTCTTATAGGTTTAGAAATGCAAATTTAGAAATATAAATTTAAAATGATCTAATTAAGACAAAAAAAATTTAAAAAAATGAACATTTTTCTCCCCTTGTAACTAAGACTGGTTTCCTAGCCCACTGGAACCTGTTTCTCCTTCCACAAGAAGGACATCACAGAATATAAAAATGTAACCAGGCACTGTGATGGGGGTCTGTATGACAGCATCTCGGAAGATAGTGAACTCTGCCTGTGGCAGGTTCAGTTCATTAATAAGGAACATGGCCTAGGCTCAGAGATTACCAGGTCCTAGCTGGATTTCCCTAGTTTATGTGACTGAGCTAATGTTCATAATTAAAAATGTAAAATGATTTTGAGACCTGTATAAGAAGGACATTAAATATATACAGTACATACTCAATTCCAGAGCCCCAAGATCATGGCCTAAGCCAAAATGAAGAGTCTCAGATGCTTTACCGACTCAGATACTTTACCGACTGACAGGCTCCCCATGAATGTTATTTCTTTAAATTGACCCTGAGACAGTAATTGAACAAAATATACTATATATGAACATATGCATATTCACCAAGAAAATGACAAAATGCATAAATGTTCAATAGGAAATCATTTAAATAAACACAGTATATTCATACGATAGGGTAAGATAGAAGTATTAAAAATTACATAGGAATATATATATATATATATATATATATATATTTTTCCCCAATGAAAAGATATCCACAGCGTATTGTCATAAAATTATAAGATCCTGTTTTAGTCTTAAAATGTTTTTAACCACTTTTTATATTGTATATTCCTCCCATGCATCACATAATTTTATTCACAAATATTCCCACATATATTTTAAAAGATAAGGACTCCTCCAAAAAACATCATACTATTTTTTATACAAGAAAATCCACAATTTAAAAAAAAAAAAAATATTTATTTATTTATTTATTTGAGAAAGCACATGCTCAAGAGAGCACAAGCGGTAGAGGGAGAAGCAGCAGAGAGCCCACTGTGGGGCTTGATCCCAGGACCCGGGGATTGTGACCTAAGCTGAAGGCAGTTACTTAACCCACTGAGCCACCCAGGCATCCCAACAATTTCCTTTTTTTTTTTTTAATTTTTTAAAGATTTTATTTATTTATTTGACATATTTGACAGAGAGAGAGAGAGCGTGCACAAGCAGGGGGAGCAGCAGGCAGAGGGAGAGAGAGAAGCAGGCTCCCGGCTGAGCAAGGAGCCTGATGCAGGCCTTGATCCCAGGACTCTGGGATCATGACCTGAGCCAAAGGTAGCCGCCTAACCAACTGAGCCACCGAGGTGTCCCCCAACAATCTCTTCTTAATACTATCAAATAACCCATGTGTTCAAATATCTTGTCTCAAAAAAATTTTTTTTACAGTCTGCTGAAATCAGGATCCAAGTAAGAGGTATACATTGGAGCTGGTTCATATGCATTTTAAGCCTCTTTTTTTTTTTTCTTTAGAGAAAGAGCAAGAGAGAGTGTGACAGGGGTGGAGTGGAGGGAGATAGAAGGAGAATGGAGAGGGACTCTTAAGCAGACTCCATGCCCAGTGCAGAGCCCAAGATGGGACTCGATCTCACAAACTTGAGATCATGACCTGAACTGCAATCAAGAGTCAGACAACTTAACCAACTGAGCCATTGAGGTGCCCCACGCCTCTTATAATCTACAGATTTTTGTTCCCTCCTCCACTTTTCTTCCTTGCAGTTTATTCGTTGAAGGAAACAAACAAGACTTTTATCATGTCGTTTCCTAATCTCTGTATTATTTACCATGCTCCCTCACCTCCTATATTTTCCCACCACTTGCACTTAGTAAGTATTAATCAGATTCATATTTGATAATTTGACAAAAAAACTTTGGGGGTGGTGTTTCATTCTCCATCAGAGGATACCTACCTAACATCTGGGCAGGAGGGAGGGGGATTTTATCTGTAAATAAAATAGTTTTTAGTATATTAAGTATTTATGAATAATCCTTGGTTTTGGAAAATGAATTTTAATTTTGTTTGATTTGCACATACTTAACAAGTAAAAAGAATCAGATCCGATTTACCTCTGTTGAGAAACAAAAGTTGACAAATGGCAGAAATGTCATCACAGAAGGATATTTTACACATTTCTTTGATCTTTAGCTTACCTCACCCCGAAAGCCATAGGTAGAAATACTAGCTAAATCCTCAAAGGATTGCAGTTTACTTGTAGTGAACCTCTCACACACAATGTCCAGATCTTCCTTCTAGAAGATACCAAAAAATAAGTAAATAATTATGCTACTCATTTTTTCCAATTTTTAAATTTCCCTTTTCTTGACTGAATCCAAGAAGAAACCCCTTTTAGGAGAGGAGTTCTGAAATCAGCGATAACTTCCTCAAGCGGCATCAGAAATGCCACACTGTCCCGGTGTCCCTTCTCTCTCACGAGTCACATCTCTCTGCATTTGCTGGTTCCGCCTCATCTCCGTTCTCCGTCAGTGGAGCAACCCAGGACTCCAGCCTTGGACCTCTTGACTGTCTACATTCACTCTCTTATTTATTTATTTGACAGAGATCACAAGTAGGCAGAGAGGCAGGCAGAGAGAGAGAGGAAGAAGCAGGCTCCCTGCTGAGCAGAGAGCCCGATGTGGGGCTTGATCCCAGGACCCCGAGTTCATGACCCGAGCCGAAGGCAGAGGCTTTAGCCCACTGAGCCACCCAGGTGCCTCTATACTCACTCTCTTGATGAGTTAGTTCTCCCAGCCACATGAATTTATAAAAATCATTATTATTAGAAAACTTCTTTATTAAAAATCTATATAAGTATTTAATTATAGTGAAGTATACATAACAAACTTTACCACTTTTAATGTACAGTTCTGTGGCCATAAATATATTTGCACAGTGTGCAACATCACCACTAACCATCTCCAGAACTCTTTCATCCTTCCAAACTGAAACTCGTTCCCCATTAAATGATAATTCTTCATCCACCCCTTCCCCAAACACCTTGCAACCACCATTCTACCTTCTATGAATGGGACTACTCTAGGAACCTCCTAGGCGAGGAATTGTACAGTATTTGTCCTTTTGCGAATGGTGTATTTTACTTAATGTAATGTCTTCAAGGTTCATGCATATTGCAGCCTGTGTCTGAATTTCAATCCTCTTTAGGCTGAATAATATTCCATTATGTGTATACGTCACATTTTAAAATCTACTCATCTACAGAACCCTGGGTTGCTTCCAGCTTTTGACTATTGTAAATATGCTGCTATGAACACGGGGGGACAAATGTTTCAAGACCTTGCTTTCAATTCTTTGGAGTATATACTCACAAGTTCTGCTGAACTGCACGGTAATTCAGTTTAATTTTTTCAATAATCACCATACTGTTTTCCACATTGGCTATACAATTTACATTCCCACCAGCAAATGCACAAGGGTTCTAATTTTTCTGTATCCTTTTAACACTTGTTATTTTATTTTACTGTTTTTGTACTAGCCATCCTAATAGGTGTCAAATGGTAGGTCGTTGCTTTTATTCATATTTCCTTAATGACCTGTGACATTCAGCACCTTTTCATGGGAGTCTCATGGTTTTTACTACCATCAAAATGCAATACACTAAATTTTTATCTCCAGCCCAAACCTCTATGCTGCCCTCCAGACTCACAGGCTAACTCAAATAAGAGCCGTCTTAAGGTTACCATGCCCCCAAATGATTTTCTGATATGCCCTCAAATGTGTTTCTTCCATAGGCTTTCCCATCACTAAGCGGCAACTCTTCCATTTGCACGGGCCAAAACCTTGATATCATTCTGGACTCCTCTTTCTCTTACACCACGCATCAGCAAATTCTGAGAGCTCTGTTTTTGTAATCAATGCAGAATCTCACTGTTTCTTGCTTCTCTACTGCAACTAAACTAGTCCAAGGCATGGTCACCCCTCACCTGGATTGCTCCAAGAGCCCTCTCACTGCCTCTGTCCTGTCCTGCTATAGTCTGTTTTCCATATTCTAGACAAATGGGTTCCTATAAACCTCACCAAACCATGTCACCTCTTTGCTCAAAACCCTTTAATAGTATCCTATCCTATTCAGAGTAAAAGCCAAAGATTTTAGAATGGCCCATAAGGTTCTATGTAACTCATCTTCTGTTATTCTTCTATTCCCTCACTCTGTTAGAGACACATTGGCTCCCTGCTGGTCCTTAAGGAAGTCAAGCGGGCTTCCATTTCATGGTCTTTGCATGTTCTATCTGCCTAGAACTTTCATCTTTTTAAGCACCTTTAAGCAACTCTCTCCTTGACCTTATTTTCCTGAACAAGTGTCCAGCTTAGAATAGTACTCAATATATACTTATCGGTGGTATTGAATATTTCAGTTAAAAATCCCATCCACCAATGCTCAGTTTCCGAAACAGGGAAAGGCTCTGTCACTCCCTGTAGGTATACACCACAAAGCACACAAAGAGCCTGCTCCTCTGAGGTTTTACTTACCCTGATCCCAGTGCCATTGTCTTGGATCTGAATTAACTTGAGGCCTCCCTCTTTAACAACCACTTGGATACTGGTGGATTTTGCATCTAAACTGTCAAATTAAAAAGAAAAAAATTTTATTACTCTGCAACTATTCTAATGTACATATTTTAATATGAGCCAAAGTATAAGAACAAATTCCAGAGAAATACAAGACTGTCTGATTAGTGTGTTTTTCCTCTGTTCTACGGGCTCTGTGACTACACTGTAACAAGTTCACATGCTTTGTGAGAGAGGGGAAAGAGAGAGGCAGGAGGGGGCAATCATCATTTCCAATAAGACATTCAACACTTTATTTCTGTTCCTCTGGGAAAGAAAGTGAAGTTAAGAGTAGGATCCTTTTACTACATGCCTATTTCTTATTCTCTTCTCAACTAATTTTGCCATTTATTCAAATTTATTCAGTCTCGGGTTCCCAAGTGACCCTAATAAGATGCCGTGTCAAAAAAATTATAAATGTGCTTTTCTACTATTTACTCCCTTTTAAGGAAATACATTTTGCTGGGTAAAACAAAGAAAGAAAGAAAAAAGGCAACGCAGAAAGTTCTTTGAGAAGCCAAAAAATCTTTTGTCCTTACAAAGAGTAGCCAACCATCACAGAGAGCAGGGGCTAAAGAAAACAAATTCTGCCTGTGGCTGCATGAAAAAGAAAAGTAATCGGCCCCTCACACAGAAAATTCTTTCTTCAAAAATAAGACAGTAAGTTACTCAATACTAAAGACCTTTCTCAGAAGCCCTTGAAGTTGTATTAGCCATCTTGATTTACATATTAAAAAGAGCATAACTGGACTCCACATAAAATCCCTGCTCTTAGAACTTACTATAAACCACTTAGCTAACATGTTCAGTTCGGTGGTGCAGTAGTCTGGCTCTTTGTAGAAACAAAAGCCAGCCTTTACTATAGGGGAAAGGAGAAACCCTTCCCAGGTTCCCAGCTCCTGCTTTTCTCCTAGTTCTGTTCCTGTCCCTCAGTGATCCTTTTTGCACTGTTCCTTTAGTCCTATTACCCTGAGTGGTTGTTTATTATGTTTTCACAATCAGCCTCCTTACCAACCCACCACTCTTAGCTGGGTCATTTTGTTCTTTTCGCGAATTTATTTTACGAACAACAATTGATTTAAACTCGAAGGTAATGCTTAGGTACATCGTGAGCATGTCTTTCTGAAGTTTACGGTTTACTCCCACCTTTCTTTCCAGGTTTTTAAGTCTTCCTTACACACTGTGTGACACTTCTAAACTTCAGCATCCACGGGATACCCTCAGGAAATCACGGATCCTCAATGTGACTGACACCCCCGCTCACCAAAAAAAGGCAAAGGGGAGGAAAACCCTACGTTGGCAATAGGGCAATCATAAGTTAAACCCGAAGTCCATCGGCCTGTCTAAAATCTAGACAATCTGTAATAAAAATCAAAGTGTACTCCTGAATGTGCATGGGTTATTTTTGGAATATGCAAGATACGTTAACACGCATAACACGGCATTCTCTGAAGTATGAATGGAGACGGTCCCCCCGAAAATGTTTATCCATTTAAAATTCTGTACGTTCTGTACATGTAATTCTAAAAGCAGTTCCCTTAACTAATGGCTCCGCTCAACTATACAATGTAGCCCTCCACTTGGTACCCCCCCCCTCAACAACCCTACTAAGGTCTCGCGAGAGCGCACAAAAACTGGCAGTACTCGGGCAGGGAATAGAAATGACCCCCAGGCCCTCCGCGCCGCGGGCATGCGCTGTACACGCCTCCGCCAGGGGCAGGGAGGCGTGTCCGCGCGCCATCCTGAAGAAGGACCTGTTAAATCGTGGCAGATAAGGAAGCCCGGCTCCACTCCCTCCCTACCAGTTCTCAATCATCTCCTTGATGGCATTAGCCGGCCGCTGGATAACTTCCCCTGCCGCGATGCGATTCACCACTGTCTCGTCCAACCGCCGAATAACCCCCGCTACGAGCGACATTTTGGCGCCACAGGAACCTAAGTCACGTCGAGATGCTCACCGGAAGTGCCTTCAGCCAATCACCTCAGGGCTTCGTGCCCACGTCTTTCCACTCTCTCTGTTTACGCGGTCTTGTCCCACCTTCTCGCGGCAGCGGCTTCGGAACCAGGGAGCTATTGATTGGGCAGCTGGATGCCAGTCAAGTTTCTTAAGTCCGCGGGTTCCTGGGTCTCTTGGTCCCTCCCTAGCGCACAGCTTCAGGCCACTGGTTAGTAGGGCATGCGCCTGCGCACTGCCCGCGCTTCCCATTGGCTCTTCCCTGGGCTAGGGAATACGAAATCTCCAGCCAATAGGAATGCAGATGGCGTAGCCGGAGGTTGGTGTCCCCCTGCTGGGGTGATTTGGCGCAGAGCGGAGGAGGTGCTTGCTCCTGCTTCTGCTCCTCCCCTCTCCTTGCGGCCTCCCGGAGGTCGGCCCTGTTCTTGTGGCCTGAAGTAGAATGTGGATGACGCCCAAGAGGAGCAAAATGGAAGTCGACGAATCTCGGGTTTTCCGGGCCGAGTGGACCCAGCGTTACTTGGTGGTGGAGCCTCCGGAGGGCGAAGGGGCCCTGTGCCTGGTCTGTCGCCGCCTCGTCGTAGCCACCCGCGAACGCGACGTCAGGCGCCACTACGAGGCCGAGCACGACTACTACGAGCGGTATGTGGCGGAGGGCGAGCGCGCGGCCCTAGTGGAGCGTCTGCGGCAGGGCGACTTGCCCGTGGTCGTCCCGCTTACTCCTGAGGAGAGAGCTGCTCGTGCAGGCCTCGGGCTCGCCCGCCTCTTGGCCTTGAAGGGTCGCGGCTGGGGTGAGGGGGACTTCGTGTACCAGTGCATGGAGGTGATGCTGAGGGATGCCCTGCCCGAACACGTAAGCGTTCTGGATGGCATTGATTTATCGCCAGAGGTCACGCGGCAGAGGGTCCTGAACATTAACAAGAATCTACGCAGTCAGCTCTTTGACAGAGCCAAGGACTTTAAAGCCTATTCCCTTGCCTTGGACGACCAGGCCTTTGTGGCCTATGAGAACTATCTCCTGGTCTTTGTCCGCGGCGTGGGCCAGGACTTGGAGGTGCAGGAAGAGCTTCTGACCATTATCAACCTGACTCGTCACTTCAGTGTTGGTGCCCTTATGGCGGCAATCCTTGAGGCCCTGCAAACAGCAGGGCTTAGCTTGCAGCGAATGGTTGGCCTAACCACGACCCACACTCTGAGGATGATTGGTGAGAACTCAGGGCTAGTGTCCTACATGAGGGAAAAGGCTGTAAGCCCCAACTGTTGGAATGTTATCCATTATTCAGGATTTCTGCACTTGGAACTCTTGAGCTCCTACGATGTAGACGTTAATCAGATCATAAATACTGTATCAGAATGGATAGTTTTAATTAAGACCAGAGGCGTTAGGCGCCCGGAATTTCAGGCCTTACTAACCGAATCTGAATCAGAGCATGGCGAAAGGGTTAATGGACGATGTCTGAACAATTGGCTTAGAAGAGGGAAAACTTTAAAATTAATATTTTCCCTGAGAAAAGAGATAGAAGCGTTCTTAGTTTCAATAGGGGCGACAACGGTCCATTTCACAGACAAGCAATGGCTGTGTGACTTTGGCTTCTTGGTGGATATTATGGACCACCTTCGAGAACTCAGTGAACTATTAAGAGTCAGTAAAGTTTTTGCTGCTGCTGCCTTTGACCATATCTGTACCTTTGAAGTGAAGCTGAATTTACTGCAGAGACATATTGAAGAGAAAAATCTAACACACTTTGCTGCCTTCAGAGAAGTTGTTGATGAGCTTAAACAGCATCTTAAAGAAGATGAAAAAATATTTGATCCTGATAGGTATCAAGTGGTGATCTGTCGCCTACAGAAAGAATTTGAGAGACATTTCAAGGACCTTAGGTTCATTAAAAAGGACTTAGAACTTTTCGCAAATCCTTTTAACTTTAAACCTGAATATGCGCCTATTTCAGTAAGAGTGGAGCTAACAAAACTTCAGGCGAATACTAACCTTTGGAACGAATACAGAGTCAAAGACTTGGGGCAGTTCTATGCTGGATTGTCTGCTGAATCTTACCCAATTATCAAAGGGGTTGCCTGTAAGGTGGCATCCTTGTTTGATAGTAATGAAATCTGCGAAAAGGCTTTTTCATATTTGACTCGAAACCAACACACTTTGAGCCAGCCATTGACAGATGAGCATCTCCACGCCCTGTTTAGGATTGCCACAACTGAAATAGAGCCGCACTGGGATGACCTTGTGAGAGGAAGAAATGAATCCAATCCATAAGCCTTGGTAGTACAACATCGAGACACCCAAAAGAGAATCTCATTCTAAAAGCAAACATTTGTCCGATTTTTCAAGTTAACTAATTTGGATTGTGTCAAAGCACCAAGTTTATTCATCCAAATTGATCACGATTCAGATTCTTCTGACAGATGTTTTTATCATCTCAAGAGGCAGCATGGGACTGAGACATGCAAACACCTTTTTTAAAATTTAATTTAATGACAGAGTCATTGTCTTTTGCTTTTATGATATAATTGTTTTTAAAGAAGTTCAGTACTGATAATGTGAGTTGAATTAGAAGTCTGTTTTTCAGATGTTTTAAAGAAATTTTAGGTTTTAATAGAGTGTTTAAATTCTGATACATATGGTCTGAAGTTATCAACTCCTTAAATGTATGTTTGAGCCAGTTTGCAGAAACTCAGGAAGTTCAGAAGTTTCTGAGAAGGAAGAACGTACAGTGGAGGTATTTTATCTATCAAAATGTTGAAGACTATTTTTTTTAAACTTTTCTGAGTCTGAAATCAATACTGACAGATCTCCTTTCACCCCCCCCCAACCTGCCCTAGAGATATTATTACTAGTAGAAAAAAATAATCATACAAAATTTTAGTCAAAGGAGTAAGAATCATTTTTAAATTGCTGGTTTAGGAGGCTTCCTGCATTTTGGAGATCAGACTATCCAGCTATTGGGGGTCTCCCCTGAATTTTTCACAGTTGGGTGCTGTTTTATCAGATTGCCTATTAAAGGACTGCGGTAAGTATAGAATCTTAATGGTTTCCCATTAGTAATTCTTTATTCTACCCCAGACAGAAGGTTAGCCCTGTCAAAAACAAGGATGACAGAATAAGATTATTGCCCTCCAGGATCAGGAGGTGTGAGATATTTTAGCTTATGTACGGGTGTTCCTGCTTTATAAAGAAATCCTGTTTAAAGGAATCCTTTTATTTTAAAGTGATATGATGTCAGATTGTGTTAGCTGCTGGAAGTGGCTTTATTATAGAATTTAAAACTGTCCCCACACACTCTATATGTAAGATAGCGCACAAGTAGAAATATTTAATTCTCAAGAAGCAGCTATATTAACAGATTGTAGCAATTCCGTATTTCTAGTGAGACATCAGCTTTGTGCAAAAACAGTACTTTTCAAACTTAGGTTAACCATAAAAAGGAAATCGTACAGTAAAGCCAAATATATAAAATGATTTAAAAGCAGGACCCAACTTAGAGGTCCTCTCAAGTACAGTTTGCAAACTTGTGCTAAAGTCCTGTCTTAACATTGTAACACGTTATTCTTGGTCACTAATCCAGCAAATTCATGGAACCAGGATATAACCAACAATTTAGAAGGAACTGATGCCCGAGCAATCAAAAGAGATGCCATGAGAGCTCAGGAACCATAGTGGTGTCAGTGGTTCTCTACCAGAAGCAGTAACCTCTCTTTGCAGAGGTTGTTAGAAAACAGGACATTTTTGGTCGTTGGACTTACCTGGGGGGATTCTGCTGGCATTTAAGCATGAAGAACATCTCCCCATCCTCTGCCTCCCCCCACCCCCTGCAGTGCATAGGACAGCCGGGCACGATAGAATATTAGCCTTCCTAAAGTGCCAGTAGATCCCCTGTTGTAGATTATTTTATCTGAGGGACAGAGCAAATTACCGGTAGAAGCAGAATGAGAAAGGCCAAGTCAGGCAGACTGACACTACTCCATAGGGTAGACTCATTCCAATGTTGCAGGTTTGGCTGGTAAGGTGAGGTAAAGGCCTTGATAGATTCTGGTGTCAGTAGCATTTTAAGTCAGTAGCTTATATGAAACCAGACTAAAGGACTCTATTCTGTTAAACGGAATTAGTGCAGAAAAGCAAGTATTAACAAGCTAGTAATCGAGAATGGTCAAGTTGAGATTTTCAGTGAACAGGGAGTAAGCTTAAATATCTGGAGAAACAACAATGAAAAACCAACCCTCCCCCCCCCAAATCTACCGGTAATTTGCCAGCAGTTGGGAGTTTTCTCTTTCGTGGCAAGTGCTTTTTTGAAAGAATGTTTGGAGGACCTGCTTCTGCTTTCCTACCCTAGTTCCTAAAAATACTGAAGTCTTGTACATTTTGTGAAGTTCCACTATATATTTTGCTTAAGGTAATAAAACTAGTTTGCCTCATGTAGTCACTGAGTTGGGAGGAGATAAAAGCTAAGGATTTAAAACTGACCCTAAATAATAGAGAATTTGCTATAAACTAGTCTTGTTTGTAAAAAAGAAAAATGTGTGTATATTACTGTTTTCTGTATTAAGTAATTCTGTAACTGCATGGCAGTCTTTAAATTTTTTTTTTTTTATTTACAAAATAGTTGTTACTGGTCCTGTCGTATTAGTGAATATAGTTAAAATAAGTACTATTTTTTAAAAACCTTGTGTCCCTATATCTCCCTTTCCTAGTAGTTTTCTTAAAAGATTTGTCTGTATTCCCAGTCTCTCAGTGCCACCCCAACTGCTCTCCCTAGCTAGATCCTTGGCAGTATTCTTACCCTCTTTGACACCACTGACTGCTCTTCCTTGAAGTGCTTACATATGTTGGCTTCAGGGGTAGGTTGTCTCTGCAGGTTTGCTTTCTCAGTCTGCTTCATAGGTGCACCCCTTTCCCTTACATGTTTGTGTTCTTGTGCTTTCAAAATTTTGTCGTAGAGCTATTTTCTACATCGTCTTAGCTGCTCTCATCCCTGTCCATGGCTTCATTTACCATCTGTATGCAAATGACCCCCCACATTCTGTCTCCTTTCTAGGCCTTTCCTAATACGTGTATCTATCTAACTGCCAACTTAAGTCACTCTGCTGTCTCGTGGACACCATAGCATGTCATTGATCTTGCCGCCAAACCTGCTCTTCTTGTGTTGCCTCTTTCAGTAGATGGCACTGCTGCTACCAGTTGCCGTAGCCCAAGCCAAAAACTAATCTATCCATGACCTTCATCATATCCACTTGTGAAAAACCTTTGTGTTAGGTCTACTGTCTCAAGTTTTTCTCACTTTTCCAGTGCTACCATTCTAATTCAGGCCATCAGCCAACCTGAATTGTAGCAACAGCATCCTTGTTAGTCTCTTTTTCTCTGGTTTTGAACATTTTTTTTATGTTGCAGCCAGATGGTTCCAAAAGACATACCTGGTCATCTCTCTCCACTGCTTTCACCATGACATAGGATAAGATATAATTTCTGTTTATCTTTGAGGTCTCAGTTTAAATACCACTTCCTCTAGGAAGTCTTCACTGATGCCCTCTAGACTAGCTGCCCCCACTGTGCACTCTCTAAATGCCCTTTTCCTTTCCCAGCCATACACTTGGCACATTTTGTTGCTACTTCTTACCGATCACTGCTAGACTGTAAGCTTTACCAGGGTAGGGACTGTGCCTTGCTAGTTATTCTGTCTGTAGTGCTTAGCACAGTGCCTGGCATTCCAATAAATGTTTGGATGAATAAATATGTGTGTAGTGTTTTATGATCTTTGAAGCCCATTCATAGTCTCATTTGACCTTCACCGAGGTCTTCCTGCCTTAGCCTGCTTGTTGGGTAATTGTTATTCACATATTATGAATTAAGAAATGAAACTAAGTTCTTTGTGACTAAGGAATTGTATTCCCAGAATTTAGCTCAGTGCTTGGCATGTGGCTCAAATATTTATTATGTGAATGTTGTTGCGGAAACGAACTTAGATTGCAATTTGCCCTAGTAAATGTAAGTAGTAAAGCCAGGATTCAAACCCAGGCGTACTTACATAAATCTATGGAATAGTAAGTCTTTACCTCCTTTACTTGGAAGTCTTAATTTCATTTCTTTGTGGTTTTTTTTTTCCTTTTTCTTTTTTTTTTCTAACTTCCAAAGGTAAACTTCCAAAAGAACCTAGATGAAAAACAGTGGTCAACTATTTAGTGGACTAAAACAATACTTTGGTAATTAAAAAGTTACACTCAGTATCAGAAAAAGATAATGCCATTTAAAATACTCATTTTCCTTTTGTAAAAGATTAATCCTAGAAGAAAATGGCATACTATTTATTTGCTACTTTCCTTTACAGATGATTTCTGGCTCTTCTGGGATTTAAAAGTAAGTAAATTTAATAAAATATTAGAGGAATGGCTCTTCTTCCTGATTCCTAGATACCCAGTTCTCTTGCTTTTCTTGCCTAAAGATGTCCTTATCACTTTTCTAAGGAAGATGACCCAAAAATGACATGTAGTCAAGGTGTACTTCTTAGATGTGCTGTATTTCTTTCCTGGCTTGTTCACATGCTTCTGAACTTAATTTCTGGGTAACCAGCTTTTGGGATTCGTGGAAGAACTATAACCATAGTCTTTTTCCTTGAGCCATTTTGTCCAATTTGAGGGATTAACCAGTGTTACACTAAATTGGACTTTTGGTCTGAGGCACATTAACTTATCCAGAAATCTTAACAGTAGGTGTGATAGTCATCCAGTGATCCTTGCTGCAAAACTGGGTTTTATTGGATTTCTTTAATCCTCTAGATTAAAGAATTTCTCATTTTTATCTTTTCATAATTGAGAAGTGGTTTCATCCTGTCCAATACATACTCGAATTTGTGAATTCTACCCCTTTCATTTCTGCTTGCAAATTGATGAATTCTGAGATCATCTCTTTCTTACACATTTCGTCAAATGCAGCCATAGCAACCATAAGACATTTTGTTTTACTTTTCCCCACTCCCACTTTAGTAAAGGATAGATTCTGTGCCTTCCAGGCTTTCCCAAGAGATCGTTTCACTGCTCCATAACATGAGTTGCCCCCATAAGTTATTTCTTCCATCCTCCAATAGCAATTTCCTGAATGCCTACCAACTAAGCCAGTGTGTAGTATGTTGAGTTTTTTAAAAATGGAGCCAATTTCTGTATCAGGATAGGCGAGGTTGTCATACAGTAACAACAGCAAAATCTCAATGCCTCGGGAACTCTTCTCTTTTAACTTGGCTAGGGACTTTGCTCGATAGGGGTCGGGGTCAACAAACTACAGTCCACAGTCAAAATCCATCCTGCTGCCTATTTCTATAAATAAAGTTCTATTGGAAGTTAGCCTTGCCCACTTAATTTATGTCTGTGGCTGCTTTTGCTCTATAATGGCAGAATGGAATAGCTGTGAGAAAGAGTGTGTACGACGCACAAAGTCTAAAATAATTTGCTGTGTGACCCCACAGAAAATGCTCACCAAACCCTGCTCAAAGTTGTTCTCATTTTGGGACTCAAGTTAATGAGATACCATGTACGGTGTGGGTGCTCATTTTGGGAAATGAAAAAAAATGCAGCAAATCACTTAGAGGCCTGTAAAGCACTTTCACTGCCCAAAACAAATCCCATGGCCACACCAAAGTTCCAGGAAGACTGTAATCCTTCCAATGTGCCTCAGAAGAAAACCAGGAGTACTTGGAAGACGATACTAGACCAACACATGGTTATATCTCTCCATTTATCTGATTTCTTTAAAAATATTTTTTATTGAGGTAACATATTCAGTAAAGTGTAAATATTAAATGTATGCCTCAGTGGATTTTTATATACACCCTGGAACCCATCACCCAGATCAAGATAGCATTTCTAGCACCCAGCAGATACCCTCATGTTCCTCCTGCACACAGATAGACTCATCGGATCCTTACACCAGAGCTTACTTTTGTCTTTTTAAAGCTTCATGTAAATGTGATGATTCTCTGTGCTCGTGTCTATTGTTCAGTACTGTGTGACTCAACCACGTTGCATGTAGAAGCATTTTTTACGTCTGCGCAGTATTCCATTGTACGACTGTACTGCGATTAATAAATCCATTCTACCATTGATGGAGATTTTGGTTGTTTCCAGTTTGTGGTTATTATGAATAAAGTTGCTATAAACATTTCTGTATCTGTCTGTCAGTGAACATGTGCACCCGTTTCTCTCAGTGTACTCTGGCATACACCCAGCTTCCATACTTTACTGTAATTACTCAGCAATCAGACTGATCCCTAGTGTAAAAATACAAATCAGACCATGCCATTCCTCTGCTCAAAATCCTCCAATGGCTTAGTATTATAATTAGAATAAAATCCGGCGTGGTCTACAAAGCCCTGCGTGATTGATCTACACCCCCACATAACCCTTTTTCTTTCTACCCTGTCTTCCGTCATATCCTTCAGTCCCTTTCCCTATCCCTAGTCACTGTATTGGACACTGCTGGTGAGTTGGGGTATCAACATAAATTATTTGACCTTGTCCTTAAAGTGGTTGTTATCTACGTAGATAATTTTAACAAACCATGACACTGGTTTGTGTTAAATTGATTACTGTAGGGAATAAGAGGCAAATTTGCCCTATGATTATTGTAAAAAGAATTTATAATCTTAAGAGTATAAAGTAAATTGGAACCCCTGGAAGGGATTTAGAGAATAAGATTAAAATGTAAAGACTCCCTGAAAAATTAAAATGATGTGTAAAGTCTTGCATTTTAGTTCCGTTGATTATGAATTAGAGTTCACCAACCTAACTTCTCTTATAACTTACTATTTGCTGTTACATGTTCACTTCCTTGAGGGATTGGAGGGAACTGGTTGGGGGAGGGGCGGTGAGAAGGCCCTGGAATAAATAAAGAAGTGCTGATATGGGGTGCCTGGGTGGCTCAGTGGGTTAAAGCTTCTGCCTTCAGCTCAGGTCATGATCCCAGGGTCCTGGGATCGAGTCCCACATCAGGCTCTCTGCTCAGTGGGGAGCCTGCTTCCTCCTCTCTCTCTCTGCCTCTCTACTTGTGATCTCTGTCAAATAAATAAAAATATTTTTAAAAATGTGCTGATATTCAGCATGTTCCAAAATAGCACCCTTGTGACAAAGGGCCTCCTTAAACATTGTGCCATTATTGATATATTACTGATTATTGTAAAATAATGGAAAGATTTGACTTGAGCTCTTTCCACATTTTTTACTTTATTGATATGTAATTAAAGTACAATAAACTGCACAGTTTAAAGACACATGCATGAAAGTCACCACAATCAAGATAATGAGCATTTCATCATCCCATAGAGGTTGCCATTTGGTTTTGACTAGTGGGAGGAGAAATTTACTGTAATTAAGCAGGGGTGGGGAGAAAGGACTTTAAAGAATATGAGGTTCTCTCAGAGCCACTATTGTTAACTTCTCTCTCTGAGCTTTTAAAAAGTTTTTATTTATTTATTGCAGAGAGAGAGAGAGTGGAGCACAAGCAGGGGGAGCAGAGAGGGAGAAGCAGGTTCCCTGCTGAGCAGGAAGCCTGACACAGGGCTCTATCCCAGGATGCTGGGATCCTGACCTGAGCTGAAGGCAGACTCTTAACTGCCTGAGCTGTCTTAACAATTTTGCCAGCCAGCCTTTGTACATCTCCCTGGCTGTCTATCACCACCCCACTCCAGCGCCACTGACCCCTGACCCAGTCTCCTAATATGTCAGTTCCACATTTTGGGCAGGACTTGTGACAGTGCAGGCTGGTGATGTCTTCCCTGAGGCCAGGTGTGTGCTACCGTAGTGAAGTGAGTGGTGGCTGTGAAGGGGAGGGGCCCCTAATAAATTTGGTGGGGCTTTCTGGTTATAAGAAACCAACTTGTAGTAGCTTACTGGGAAACAAATAGGAGAATGATTAGAGAAATACATGAGTATCTCATGGAAACCGAGTAGGGGAATCAGATTCAGGGTCATTTGACACTAACTAAATGAAAGCCTACTAGTGCCAGGCACTGGTCTGGGCACCAGAGACTCAGATTCCTAAACCAAATAAATTTCCTACCTTTGTGGGTCTTGTCTATGCCCTCCTTGCACACCTGCTTTGTTGTCTCTGAACAACACCAGCTTCCACTGTGTGTGTGTGTGTGTTGTGTGTGTGTGTGTGTGTGTATGTATGTATAAATTTTTATAATGGGGGAATATGTTTGTTGTGATTGTAGAGATGTTTTTCTCTAAAGGGGTCTATAATGTGCAGCTCTAGGCCCAGTCCTGCACTTGAGGTGAGTTGAAGAGGGAACCTCTACAAGGGGATTTGGGCTGGGCAAGATGCACTAAAAGTTGCCCATTGTATCTCTCAGTGGTTAGCAGCCACTGATATTTAAAGTCATTCCAATAGTTTATTGCCTCCTGTCACCAGCACATTGACTCTTCTGAATGAGAATTTATAGAACTGAATATTCAAGAGTCCGTAGAAAGATCATTTACTCCAGCTCCTTTACAGGTTGAGAAATTGGGTCCCAGAGAGGTGGCTAAGGTTATTCAGAATTACATAGCAGGTCCGTGGTGGAGTCTATTTCCTGTTCCTGTGCTTTTCCCATTCTACCATTCTGTCATTGCCAGATTGGCTCTTCGCCTCCATTCCTTTCAAGGAACTGTCTGTTTGCCAGGTGGGGGACCCCAGAGTCCTCACAGTCTTGGCCTTTGGCTCTGGCTAGCAATGGCTGAGACAGGGTATCATCTTAGCACTTACACAGAAATCCTTTGGGAATCTAGAATTCTTTAAGATATTGTTATGTTGGATATACAACAAAAATTATTAAAATTTTTGTATTTTGATGAGTATTCTGAAACAGTTTAAGTAGTGTACAGTACTTGTTTCTAGAGGGTTTGAAAAAAATTGAAAAGAATGGTACTGGTGCCCCTTAGGTAGTTTTTAAAAATGCTTTAAATTCAATTAACATAGAGTGTATTATTAGTTTCAAGGGTAGAATTTAGTGATTCATCAGATGCATATGACATCATGTGCCCTCCTTAATGCCCATCACCCAGTTATCCCATCTCCCCACCCACCTCCCCTCCAGCAACCCTTAGTTTATTTCCTAGAGTCAGTGTCTCTTATGGTTTGCCACCCTCTCTATTTTCATTTATTTTATTTTCCCTTCTCTTACCCTGTGTTCATCTGTTTTGTTTCTTAAGTTCCACCTATGGTGAAATCATATAGTATTTTTCTTTTTCTGGATGATTTATTGGGCCTAGTATTCCATCCATGTTATTTCAAATGACAAGATTTTGGTTTTCTTGATGGCTGAATAATACTCCATTGTGTGTGTGTGTGTGTGTGTGTGTGTATCACATCTTCTTTATCCATCCATCGATAGACATCTGGGCTCTTTCCATAGTATGGCTGTTGTGGACATTGCTGCTCTAAATGTTGGGGTGGGTGCATGTGCCCCTTTGGGTAAGTAGCCACTTGGGGTAAGTAGTCACTTAGGTAGGGTTTTTGTATCCTTTGGGTAAGTAGCCACTTAGGTAGGGTTTTTTTTTTTTTTTAACAATTTTTCAATTTCCTCTTATGCCTCTTGCATACTGAATTAATTTCTAGTTTTTTTGGATTTTCTTAGGAAATTTTCCATTAAATTAAGATTTTCAAATCTATTGTGTTGTTCATAGCATTTTTATTTTATCTCCTCTGTACTTCTGTTATATTCCCTGTCTCATTCCTAAATTTTGGGCTTTCTTTTTTTTCTTAATTAGCCTCATTACAGATTTTTATTTTCTTGTCCTTTTCAATGAATTTCAATGAATTTGTGTTTTATCAGTGTTATTCTATTAAGTATCCCATAAAATGATTCTATTTTCTAATTCATTGATTTCTGCTTTTACTTTCTTTAATTCATTCTTCCTATTTTCTTATTCTTTTTCTCCCTTTGATTATTTTTTCCATATCCTTGAGTCGAATATTTTTATACTTTGTTTAATAGTTAACCCTCTTCATTGTACATCAAACCTGTTATCAATATAAAGTCAATTTCTAAGGCCTCTATTATGCCTTTTATCTACTTGAATTCTTTTTTTTAGAGATTTTATTTATTTACTTGAGAGAGAGAGAGAATGAGAGAGAGTGAGCATGAGAGTGGGGAGGTCAGAGAGAGAAACAGACCCCTGCTGAGCAGGGAGCCCAATGCAGGACTTGATCCCGGGACTCCAGGATCATGACTGATATGGTTGCTGTACCACACCACCTAGATACCTCAGTTAGCAATGAGGTTCTTATTTCATCTCTGAAAACAAAGAACATTGTCATATACAATTATAATACTATCATCATAGCAAATTAATTCTTTGACAAAAACTAATGCCTAGTCCATATTCAGTTTTCCCCAATTTTTCTCAAAATGGACTTTTTACAGACAGTTTCTTCAACTCAGGATCCAAGCAAAGTCCACACACTGTATTTGGTTGTTGTGTCTCTTAAATTTCATTTAATCCAGAGGAGTCCCTCTGTCTGCTCCGCATTTCCTTATGCCCTTGTCTTGTTGAAGAAGCCAGGTCTGCTGCTGTACAGACTGTCCCACAGGATGTATTGATCTGTCTTATTTCTTGTTGTATGTAATGTGTTCTTCTATCGCCCATATTTTATTTAGTCTTGAAGTTCATGCTAAAGGCTTGATTTTCTAAAATTTTTTTGAAGATTTTATTTATTTATTTACTAACAAAAAGTGCACATGCACGAGCAGGGGGATCAGCGGGCAGAGGGAGAGGGAGAAGCAGGCTCCCCGATATGAAGGGAGCCTGACATGGGGCTCCATCCCAGGACTCTGGGACCATGACCTGAGCTGAAGGCAGGTGCTTAACTGACTGAGCCACCCTGGTGCCCCAAAGGCTTGATTTGATTCAGGTTGGAATGCTATGGCTAGAATGCTGGAAATAGGGTAGTGTGAGGTTTCTGCTGCCTCACAGCACGCTCACAACCTGTAGTCTGCCCATTTCTAGTAACGCTAGAACTGGTCAGTGGGGCTGGGGCTGGGACCCCATCCTGTCTCTGTCAGGCTCCCTTCCAGTCTCTTAGCTGAATGGCTTTGGTCCACTAGTCACTGTCTCCTGGACCCCATTCATTCATTAGGACTTACAGTATAGTTGTCTTTCTAACTCTATCACTTCTACACTTA